TGGGGCCAAAGTGCGCAGTACAACAAGCTGTAAAACCAGCACCAACTTCAAAAATTCCAGTCAAAATAAGAACTCTTTTCGACACCAACTGGTATTTTGTTGATCGCACCCGGTAAATAGCTCCCTCAGCCGAAAGTAGTCGATTGCCTTCGCGTATCTCCGCCGCTGTGCTTAGGAGCGAGATGGGCATAGCTGTAGCCATGACAACCAGCTTATCTCAGTACGAGGCGCCATCATAAAAAAACCGTACCGAAAACAAGGGCCAGTTTTTCGGCAACCAGACTGGCGTTTTTATGATGGTATCGTAAAAAAATCCCCGATTGTCGGCAACACTGGCCGAAATATATTCGGTTGGAAAAGGCGGCGTTTGTTCCGGTGCGTGTGCGAAGGTCGGCTTCTTTGATCTCGCCGCTAAAGTAGTACCTGTCAACGTAAGGGGATTCCATAGTTGCTTCTCGTATTGCCGTGTTGCCGCTGTTCGCCTGTCCCGGTTGTTTACCGCTGTTGGGTCTGGAGGGTTTGGAGGCCGCTAAACCCCCACAACTCCTTACTAGTTAACCACAAGCATTACTGAGGAAATCTGGCAAGGAAAATCGGGTCCTATTGGGAATCTCGGAGGATTTCGAAATTCTTCCGGTTGGTTCCCGTTGCTGAATGGCAACATTGCCTTCGTTACGCCTGTAGAGTAATCGGGTTCCTACTATTACACTACTCTGGTGGAAAATTGTAAAAGAATGCCGACGAAACAGATGTGTAAGATGAGGGCAGTGATGACGCAGGATTTTGCAGTCCTTTGCCAATCTGAACCGTTTTTCCCCAAGTATTCTGCTGGTAAATCCGCCATCCATTTACCTTCCAGCGCGTGTTCCCACTTGATTAGCACGTTCCTAATCAATTGATTTACTGCTATGGTTAGTTGGGACGTTCAAATCAATTGGGCAAACAAAGATCACGCGATCTTTGATGATTTTATTAATAAAACTGGGCACCGGAATGGAATTCGAGAGGCCGAAAAAAGTGAGTTTATCTAACCCCCATCGATGTTTCGAGAATTTCGAAACGGGTAATTTGAACGCAAACGAACGACTGCGGTAACTTGAAAAACAAACAAACAAATAAGACCTGTAAAACGGACTAGTCATTTCCATAAAGTCTGATCTTTGTGCGCATACCTTTTTACCGCCCGCCGCTCGAGAAGACATCGGCATGTTGTCGGCACGATTGTGAGACTTTATATTGCTCAAGTCCTTTTTCAACGATAGATGTCCGAATGGAAAAAACATCCAAGCTGGGCAGCTGCAGTACGCAAGAGATTTTTCACAAAAGTACCTTAATAGGACTCACTTTTCTAGGGCTCTAGCATAGATAGATACGAACTTTGAGCCAAACCGTCTCAAGTAATGCATAACAAGCAGAATTTATGAGCAGTCGCCTTAGTTGAAAACACCGCAGCAAACCAACTAGTTGTTTACGGCCCCTCGTAACACAACCAGGCCGGTCGCGCTATAGTCAAGAGCGAGAGGCGAACAGTGGTTGTCGCGGAAACGCACCTGTCTTTGTCCCACCGGCATGATATACCAGGGGTGATTTGTTCAACATGCACATTTTACATTAGTTAGATCCAGAAATTCGAATTTTAAAAGGGAAAAGCTGTTCGATTTTTTGCAAAAAAAAACAGCCCACTTTAACTCTCCCAGTTTACGCCAATTACTGTACAATTGGGTGATCGTGTAGCTTAATTTAAACAACGCTTTAAATTACGCAGTTTCAGCAAAAAAAATTGCTGGAAGGTCCAAACATTAAGCCAAAAAACACTCACAAAGTTTGAGGAAAATCACCATTTTCAGGCCAAGTTTCTAAAGGTGTTGCCAAACTGCGCAAAACGTTTTCAGTTAATCAAAATTATTTCCTTGGATACCTAGCATGTAGATTCATTCAATTTGGGTCGATTTAGATTATTTAGGTCTTTTCAGCTTATTAACTTTTACCTTCTGTATATTTTTTTAGTTTCATTAAAAAGATCACTTCAACCCTGCTAACACAAACAAACTAACTCAAAATTAACCGAAAGGAAAACAACGCAAAACTACATGGCAACACCGCATTGTGTGGAATTCCCGAAAGAGTCAAATAATCCGCCATCTGACTGTCGACGCCCTGGACAACCTCAATCAATGGACAATATTAGAAAAGATGCTCAAACTTTTGCGAAAAATCCAATTATTATGCATCTCAGCGACAATTTTTAATGTTGAGTTATGAATTGTTGATGCCTAAAGCACGATTTAGCAGCAAATAACATCATTTTCGTGCATAATTAAGTAGTTATGAAAAAACGAATTTAAAACGTTTGTAAGTAATTTTTGCCTTAATTTCTTGAAAAAAAGAAGATTTTAAAACTTCTATCAAACCGTGATATAAGAATAATATGTGATTCTGTTCTATTCTATAATCTGAAAGAACATATTTCGAACCAATCTCGGACATGAGCAAATTTCAATATATCATCTCACATAATGAGGTCAGTGTCAATAGCTTGAAACAGACTCTAGTTGTTGATGAACCCTCGTAATACAAGCAAGCCTTTCGCGCCTAATTTTCATACAGTCAAGAGCGAGAAGGCTATAGTGGTTCTCATGGAAACCGGTCTGTCATTGTCCTACCTCCCTAGTGCAAAGGCAAAAACGAACCAAAACATATTTCAGCAATGAAAAGGTGTTTAAAAAAACATTTAATACGAACATAATAAAAGGTAATACTTTACACCACGATCTGGTAACGCACGCGCACAAACACGCATAGCCGAAAATTCGATACTGTTTAGCCATGTTGCCAAACTGCCACCAAAGTAGAAAATCTCAATCAATACGAAAAAGCTAATTAATTCAAAGTTGAAAACTGACCAGAAATACGTCCATAGAGGAAATGCGAACGGCGCAAAAAGGTTCAAAATAAAACTGAGAAATATGCATAGGAAAAATGATCAAATGTTAAGGATAAAAATAAAAAGGACACCGACCATTGTACAAAAATGATAGTGGTAGTACTGGCAACTGCGCGAATAATTTAGACTGGCACGCCGGCGCAAAGAGTGGAATCAACATGGCGTCCTTTGTTTTGGTGACTTTCATAAGGAGAAAACTGGTGGAAACCGGCATTTTCTCGAAAAATCTTAGGACAAATTTAGTTCGTTATGAGGTTTTCTATAAGTTGCGAATAGTCCTAATCGGCAAAGCGGCAATGCTGGTATCAAATCGTGGTGTGAATATTTACATAAGGAAATGTCAATGCCACGTTCCATTATAATTATCAGTGGTGATTTACCACAAACAAGCCACATAATTTAAAAACAGCACAGCAAACAAACTAGTTGTTTATGGTCCCTCGTAATGCAACCGAACCATTCCCGTCTAACTGTGTCTATAGTCAAGAGCGAGATAATAATACTGGTTGTTATAGAAACACGCCCGTCTTTGTCCCACTTTTCCGATATACCAGGGATATTTGAAACTGATATTGGGTGATAGTAAAACGAAACCACAAATTCAATAATCCGCTGTTAAAAAAAAGTTACAAAGGAAGAACTTTTAAAATTAATAATGTCGCGCGCCAAACAATAGTCGCAAAGTTTTTCAAATAACTGAGCAAAAAAAATTAGTTTGCAAAAGTTGTTTCTAGCAAAAAGCCTTGAAAATGCCGGAAAATAAATTTCTTATTCTAAGAAAATACTCAAGCCTACTTTATAATCAACTAGAAAAAGCCCACATTTTCTTTAAAACCCCACTAAATAAATTAGTTGTTTATGACCCCCCGTAATGCAACCAAGCCGTCTGCGCCAAACTGCGCCACTGGCCAGAGCGACAGAACAATAGTGGTTGTTATGGAAACGCAACTATCTTTGTTGCACCTCCGTGATATACCAGGGCTGATTTCTAGGTTTTCAGGGTTCACTTTAGTTTCTTGTGAAACGAAATATAGTCGATCTCAATAAAGTCCAAATTGATTAACTTATTTCTTTGAAAAAGCTCGGTTTTGTCAAATTTATTGATATACATATACGATCTTTTTAGTTCCAAATTTATTCATAAATACAGTTTAAGTTACTTGAATCATCCATCAAAATTCAATGGAGAATTCAAAATTGAAATAACAAACAAGGGTTTTCACTTGAAAAAATGGCTTTGGCGGATTCGAGCATTTTTCAACAAACAGTGCGCTGAATTTTAAATGAATTTAGAAATTCTTACAGGGGCTCACTCTATGCATATATCATATAACAGTAAGAGAGCAAGAAGAAGATACACTAAAAAACCGACTTCCGTAAGGAAAAACCTTCGAAACTAGAAATATGTCCGCAAGAAACCGGCAAAACTTAACAGATCGTTGCGGATGCGGAAACTGGCGATGCGGAAATTGTTCAATAAAAATCATCAAAAGTTAGCAAGTAAAAACTAAATTTCTAATGCAATCAAGCATTCTCCAAAGGTGAAAACATTAGTGTTCTGAACTCTTAAGCCTGCAGCTGGTAGCAGAAGAATGACGCTGACGCTTCCAAGTAGGTAAATTGAGAGCCCAATCAACGTTTACCGAAGAAGTTACGTATTTGCTTTCGAGTGAAAACTCTTCACGTGTTGGTTGAAATAAAAGTGTCTTGTAAATATGTAATAAGCGTTGTGGGCTTTAAACAGTAGCCAAACGGTTGTTTGTGCAGCATCGGGGAAATCGAGCGGGTTCCACTTGCGGTACCCGGTTAAAATGTTTACAAACTTTGTTACAACCACGAATTGGCCGGTGGAGACTGAAAGGGACAGTAGAAAAAGAACCAACGATTATCGACAAAGTAAAGCGGCCATCGTCCAGAGTACATTAAACCTGAGCGGCTGAAAATAGGGCCCCAAATTACAATACAGAAACCATTATTGCACTTCACTAGCGTATCGGTGCACCTGTTCACATCAAAAGACCGGCGGAATCGTCGGCCCGCATCAAAGGCTCCTTACCTGTGCAAATGCGCGCATCTCGATTCCTTTATACGCGATACACACGCCGATGAGGCTCGAGAAGAAGAAACGAGCACACGCACAAGCTCCGATCTCAACAACACCGAGATTTCAACTGAACTGATCTGAACAGCGAACTGAACTGGACCCGAAAACAGCTTCCAAACAGTTTGGTTCAGATCCACCCCACCTCCAGCTACCCCCTGGCTTGGGGGTGCGCACCACTTTGCGTGTTGCGTGGGTGGAAGTGCTGGGTTGGTACTTGGTACCCACGTGTTGGGCGTGGTTCTGCCCATGTGCGCGCTGGAAATTCGACCTTACGGTGAAGGTGAAAAATTATCTTCGACAAGAGAATTTCGAAATTCAATTGACATGCTATTGAGAGATAATTGAGATTTTTCCTTCAGTAAAGTTGCTTTCTTTCTTGAAATCTTGCCCTGGAATAAAAAAAATGCAAGTAGCCCAAAAACAGGGTAAATACGACCTTCTTGCTAGGCATTTATCCCCCTTTTGTCCAATGGAATGCTCAAAATCACGCCAAAATTGTCGACTGAAAATATAGTTTTTTTCTCTCGAAGCACTAAATTTTCAAAAACCATTCTGTGTTGGAGTTTGAATTAATTTAGGCTAAGATTTTTTTAAATAACAATATCTTTACAAGACCTGTGATGCCTGCAAATCGACCAAACTCTTAAAAAATTCGTCCTTCTAACACAAAATGTACCTACAAGCAAATTTATTTAATTTTCGAGAAAAGAAAACGTCGAAATACTAAATAACCCCAGATTCACTATTAAAAATAAATTCTTGGGAAAAGCTACTTTCTTCAAAAGTTCATAAGAACAGTTCGTATCAACGCACCACTTTTAGACTCTCATAAAATAAATGCGACCTCCTTGTTAGGCAATTAAATCCCTCCAACATTTTTTACTTTCAAAATATTGTGTTTTTATCTAGAAAGAGAAAATTTTCGAAAATCATTCTTTCCTGAAAAGTGGATTAATTTCTGCGGGGCGCCTTTCAAATCATAATATTTCAGCAATAAAAGCTGTTTTCTATTGAAGGTCTTGTTTTTATTGAACTGTGATGTGTGCAAATCGAGCAAACTTTGAAAAGGTGCGTTCTTCTGGCTCAATATGCACAAGCAAATTTCGTTGGTTTTTCTCATAAGTTCATCAGACGTAAAGCTGCTTTAAAGTTTGCAAGTAAAATTTCGATTGTTCCTTGAAAATTTGACTTGGAATCAAAAAGTTTAAGTGGTTTTTTTGCGGTGGAAAGCTCAAAATATCTTTCTCAATTAAAAGTACAAAATGTAAAATACACCAAAAAATAACATAATATGGACCGAACCTAAATTTAACAAATACATAGAAAAACATTACGAAAACAAACTGACAGAAAACGAGGACACTTGAATTAAGTATATAAAACTTTCTTGTTTTGACAAGGTAAATAAAAGTAGAAATATCAATGGTTTTTGAGTTTTTCAGTTTAAGTTTGGATTCCTTTCAGCTCTACGAAAACCTACGAAACGGGCCCAATTGAAGAAACATTCGACAATTTTTAGCTACTTTAGAGGTTCCAAATCAAAAAAATGCGACCTTCTTAATAGGCATTTACCCCATTTTGTCCATTGGAATGCTCAAAATCTTTCCAACATTTTTGACGTTGAAAATATTGGTTTTTTGTCGAGAGACAACATTTTCGGAAACCGTTCTTCTGTGGAGTTTGCATCAATTTCTGCTGGGTAATTTTTAAATAACAATATTTTATTTATTTACCAGAAAATACTAAATGTAAAAAAACAAAAACCAAAGAAAACAATTTTTAGTTTTTTTTATTCTAAGATCAATTGGAAAATTATTCTTATAGTTTTAAGTTTTGTTGTATTAGCAAAAGTTCATGAACTTTTGCTTTCGTGCTAATCTGGTTTGCTACTTTCCCCTGGGAAAATAAGGATGCAAGCCAGGCTATGAGTTGTTGACTATATTTTCGTCTGTCTTCATTAGGTACACCTTATTCAATCCTTTATTTTTTTGGTACCAGATTCTTAATTTAAAACCTTAGACTCATTTGGCATTCTGTTGAAAGTGTTTCTTGCTTTGATATCATTATTTTTCGTGCTTCCCCTTTTGTAACACTATGGCGCAATTATTAGTTTCTGTCTTGTTTTGCTCAACAAATTGATGAATTGATCTTTCATTTTATTGTAGTAAAATAATAGGCAATAGGCAGGAAAGATATATTTTTTTCGAAAATTGACCATTTAATATTCCTGTTTGGACAGATTATAATAAATGTTTCCCATGAAGTCGAAAGACGCAAGAAACACTGATTCGTTGTTACAAATTTGGGAAACGCAAACTCACTTTCTTCATAAGTTCAATAGAACAGTTCGTATCAACTCTCATAAAACATCTAAACTTCTACCAAATGGGCCCCGTTGAACGGTTTCTCAACCAATGACCTGTTTTGGAAGAAAAATGAGATTTTCACAAAGCAAAGCTATTTTAGGGGTTTCAAGTCAAATTTCAATTTCTGTCTCGAAGATATCGGTTTTCATCCGGTGGAAAGCTCAAAATTCCTGGAACATTTCCGCCTTTAAAAATCTTGATTTTTTCTAGATTTTCCCGCGGCTTAAGCGGACAAATAAGTTTACTGCGGGACAAAGCAGTAAATTTTTCTTATTTCGAAAAATTATTTGTCGCCTTAAGCCGCGAAAAAGTCCCTTCCAATATTCAGAAAAACATGATGGAAAAAACTATGGATGACTGAAAACTTCCTCGACTTAATTGACGATAGAAGAAAAGTCGAAACACACGCAAAGAAAAACACAATCAAATCCAATAGCAAATTAAAACAGCCATAGAGAAAACAAGAGAGAATGACAAATGTGGAGAAATGGAGTCACTTGAGATTTTGAGAATCAACAGAATATACAAGACATACAAAAATAGTGCCTTTAGTAATGCATTTAAATGAAGAACTAACAAAAGCACAAATAGTAAAAAAATAACAATTGGTCACCTACAGAATAAACATAAGACAGAGACAAACAGGACAAATGAGAAACAATAAAGCGGTTTTCAAAAATTTGATCAACCAACTATTTGTACGAAAAAAAGACAGAAGAAAGCAACTCTGGATTACTAAAAATGCTCTTGACTGAAGGAGCAACAGAAGAAAATATCGAAACAAAGTCAAAGGTACACACAAAGCCAACAGGAAATTAAAACAGCTATAAAAAAAAAGAGCAGAATAACAACATTTAAATAAAAAATTACAAGTGACCCATTTCTTGCGTCTCTGCCCAACATTTCGGACTTTCGAAATTTTGATTTCTTCTCTGGAAAGACTAAGTTTGTGATTTTTCTAATTTGTTTCCGAGTTCGGATTTATTCCAGCTTGGTAGCGAAAGACAGAATTTTATTCATAATATATGTTTTCTATAGAAAATGTTTGTTTCAAAGACTGAGAAGTGTGAAAATCCGACTCAAAATGTACATGCAAAAATGAATTTAGCTTGCTTGATGACAAAAAAGCTTTAAACTCTCATAAAACTCAACCAAATGCGCCCATTTTCACATAATTGTTTTTGTGAATTTCTGCAAATCTAACATCATTTGGACTCTTGCATACTTAATAGCAGAAAATTTAAAAAAATGTCCTACTTTCCTAAAGAGTCAGCTGAATCTTCCATCTTAAACACTCGTAACTGAAATAACCCATAAGAACCGTCCATTATTGGGATTTGTCAAAGGCTTTCGACTCGGATAATCAGCATCTACTTCTTGGGATTCTGCCTGCTTTTGGGATAAGGGGTGGATGTTTTGACCTGGGCAAATAATCATTTTCAGACTGCCGGCGACTGATCACCGGAGGTGGTGGTAAAGCATGCTTTGAACTCATTATGGTGTCACTTCACGCTTCTAAAATATTGAAAGCTTAAGCTTTAAAATCCTGTAAAACTGTGAAAGCTCCACTAAATGCGAACCTTTTCACGTAGAAAACTTTTGTGCTCTTTTCTATAAACCCAGCGTTATTTATTTGCCCTAAATGGAAGACACTTTCCCTTATTTAAACCTCGTGTAAAACATATGGCAGAGATGATTTTCGGAAATCGTGAACTTGAACTCTGAATCTTTCAAGAATATAAAGTAGAAAATTGTTTTTGATGTGTAAAATTTTGACAATTTGCCTCTCAATTTATTGGAATTAAAAATCCATCAAGAACTGGTTTATTCTTTTGCTTAAGAAAAACCTGCATGCATCTAATTTTTTTCAAAAATATCGACTTTTTCCATCCAGTAGCGAGCTCAGAATCCCTGCATCGTGTTTGGTTTGGAAAATATTTTGGATTTTTGCAGACTCTTTCTGCCCCGTTTAAAACTGCGATCAGTTAAACGTTCGCCATTGACTTCACACATATCTCCAACAAACTGTGTGTTTGTGTTCCCTTTAAAAATCTTCGACTTGTTGGAAAACCATTCTTAAAGCAGATTTTCATTGATCACTATTGCACACATTTTGGGAGACCAAACATTTCATAAATTAATTTTTTCATTGGACACACTTTTGTAAAAAGTCAAACATAAAGATCAGGGAACATCAATCAGAGATTTATTTTCTAGTCCGACAGACACTCAAATTCGATTTTGTTTTGAAAATTTGGCCTTGATTTATCAAAAATTGTCAAATTTTGAAAAATCGGTTGCAAATTTGCGCCTACAATCAAAAAGCGTCTTCAGTTTGCGTACTTTTTACTTTAAGAAAAAAGTGAGCTCGACATTTTTAAAAAATACTTAAATCTCGAAATATCTGCATCTTGTTTATTGTTTATATATCCGAAAAACGAATATTTTAGATACTGGATTTTCGGCTTCTTACACCGCGTTTAAAGCTTACACCCGCAGCGATCAAAAACATTTCCTGCTTAAAAAATTACTTCATAAACAGATCGCACGCAGTTATTTTACGTTATCTCCATAGACTTTGCATATACTTTACTAGCTGCAGAAAATATGTGTTTCTGTTCTCCTTTCAAAACTACATTTTTTAAGTTTTTTTTCAATGCAAATTAAAACATAAAAATCGAAAAAAATCCTTAGCGAGTTTGTTATTAACATGACACTAAAAATGGATTTGTTTTGTTTAACT